AAATATTGTACATGACTTGAATAAAACTGAGATGGTATTAACTACAATTTGCTCTAATATCACCAAGTCACCAGAGGAGTACTCCAGCGGTTGATCCTAGGGCAGACACTGTTTAATATCTCCATTAACGATCTGGATGCTGGGACAGGGTGTATCCTCACGAAGTCTGCAGATGATATAAAACCGGGAGGAGTGTCTGATGCACCAGATAGTTATGCTGCCTTTCAGAGAGACCCGGACATGCTGGAAAATTGGGCTTAGAGGAATCTCATGAAGTGGAAACACATTTGGGGAGGAACAACCCCAGGAACCAGTATACACTGGGAGTCAACTATCTGGGAAGCAGCTTTGCAGAAAAGGACTCGAGGGTCCTGGGGGACAAGCAGCTAAACATAAGTCAGCAATGTGTCCTTACAGCAACAAAGGCCAACGGCATTCTGCATTAGGAGTGTGTTGCCAGCAGGTTGAGGGAGGTTGTCCCTCTCTACCACTTAGCACTGGACAGGCCACATAGAATCACAGAATTGGTTTGGTTGGAAGAGACCTCTGGGATCACCAAGTCCAACCTTAGCCCTAACACCGCCATGTCAACTAGACCACGGCACTGCCACGTCCAGTCTTTTCTTAAAGACTTCCAGGGATGGGGACTCCACCACCTCCCTGGGGTGGAAAGTTCTAAAAAGAAATTAGTACTCCACACCTGGACTGCTGGGTCCAGTTACAGGCTCCCCAGTACAAGACATGGACCTACTAGAACAAATCCAGTGCAGGGCCACAAAGACAATTACAGGATTGGAGCATCTTTCATACGTAGAAAGGCTGAGAGCGCTGGGACTGCTTAGCCTGGAGAAGAGAAGGCTCTAGGAGGATCTTATCATTGTTTATAAGTATCTGATAAGGGGGGACAAAGAGGGAGCCAGATTCTTCCTGGCAGTGCCCACTGACAGGACAAGAGGCAATGGGCACGAACTAAAAAAACCCAGGACATTCAATCTGAACATGAGAAAATATTTTTACTGTGAGGATCGTCAAACACTGGAACAGATTGCCCAGAGCAGCTGTGGAGTCTGTCTGCGGAGGTACTCAAAATTTGCCTGGACATGGTCTTGGGCAATATGCTCTAGCAGAGGGGGTTGGATTGTTTCATCTCCAGAGGTCTCTTCCAACCTAAATGACCCTGTGATTCTGTGAAATAGAAAAGTAAACCCATCCTACTTGTGTAACTCTGTGGATCTATTCTCCAGCCTATTACAAAAAGGATTTCTTTTGGTCAAAAAAAGGTGTTTTATCAAACTAGCTAGATCATCAAGGATACTGGATTTCTAACAATATTGAGGTGACTAACTCATATTTGCTTTGCTCCTTTTCACTTATGTTCAGGGAGAAACCCATTACACACTTGCAAGGACTCTGGCCTTAATTTAGAATACCTAGTACTGCAACATTAAGCACCCTCAGCTTACATCAAAAGTAAGGCTACGTAAATAATTGTTATCTAGCCGGCCTCACTGAAAGCTCCATGCAGGCATGTCTTTATAGGATTGGGCTTACACCTTTGAACTTCACTGCACCTCCAGAGATTTTGTTGTACCTTGCCTGTTGCCACTGCGCAAATGGATACTTCCTCTTCTCCTTACTGAAAGATGTGCTAATGAGCCCACGGCATGATGGGGGAAGAGAAGAGGGAATTTCACAAAAAAAAATGTGTTAGAAAATACTACAAGGAAAATACTGGCTTCATTTGCCTAAAAAAACCCAACCAAAAAACCCAAAGTACCAAACCCCCCAAAATCAAAAAAACCCCAAACCCTCCCCTCCAAAACCCCGTAACAGAAATACATTATTCCTTACCTGTATTTTTGATGCTAAATCAGATCCAGAATTTATTTAAATCCACTGCTCTACCTCCTCTAAGATACCCAGCCAACATTGTAAAAGCATCAAAAGACATATTACGGTCACATGAAAGAAAGAAAAAGCTTATACCGTATGTTTCTGCCCACATTAATTGCAAGAAATTACAGGAATGTTCACATTACTGTACTGGATAATTAATCTTAAAGTAACAATTGCATTCTAATGTTCCAAGAACAGGCTGGCCATAGTCTATAGTTCCTGGTTATTCACCAGAGAAGTCCTTTGTACGTGTTAAGCAAGCATTAAAATTTTTTTTTTCAAGAAAATTCAGGTCACTTTGCAATACAGTAGCTACAAAACATTTATTTTTTTTTAAATAAAAACATTTAAATCATCAGGTTTTGTAAAACAGCATGTCAAGTGTTTATCTTAATCTTTGTAGCATAAGCACCTTCAGTTTTATGCTAAAACAATCAACATCATTTATTATTTGGTCAGGCTATTAACCTACATTGAAATAAATATACTTTTAACCAAGACAGATCACTTAATGCATACCAGATTACCATAATTTTATAGAAAGTTTCTCTGGTGACAAGTGAAATACAGACTGTGAAACCACAATTGCAATAATTTTTTCTTTTTCCTCTTTTTAATTTCAGTGAAGACTGGCCTATCATTTTAAACTATAAAAACAATGATAAAGCACTATAGACTATAGCTTAAAAAAACCAGCATCATGTAAGAGAAATATTTGAGACGGCTTACCTAAACTGTCTCAGAATAAGAGGTGGAATACAAACTGCTAAATTAGTTAAAACGCACTGGTCTGGTCGTATCATATGTCCCACTCCTATGGGAAATTATCGACTGAACAGGAATAGAAATCTTTGTTTAATTACAAGAGAGATAAGCCACTGATAACTGAAAACAATACAGCTCACAAAAGACTTTTTATGCCGATACTATTGATTACAAAACATAGGGTGCAAAATTCAACATTTAAAATTATATAAACCTTAAAAGTAGAGAACAGAGCTTAACAGAAGTTTAATACTTCAGCACCTGAGATTTTCCTGTAGAAAGCCCAACAGAGATACTTTCTTCAGAAACATGTAATACAATCAACTCCTCTTCTCTCAGTATTATATAGGAATAATAGATCAAGAAAGCATTGAAATACACCTAATGCTCCAAAAATCTAATTAAGCCTTGAAGATGAATCTGCTATCAAGCTATACTTAAAATTTGATCCATGTGCACTACCTAATTGATTTTATCGTATGAAAACATTTTGTATAAAACTGGAATAGAGTTCATCTATTAAAGTGTTCGGATGAAAGTAAAGTTTAAAGAAAAGACAAAGAACAGTATACAACTTGAATCAGGTTGACAAAGAACTAAGAATACTGAAATAGAAACAGGTTTGAACAAAATGTAATAACGTAATAATCTGCTATGCAGCCATTTAGTTTTACAGACAGCTAGTGGTTATGTCTTTACTTCTGGTAAACTAATACTTTAAGGAAATCCTTTTCTATTTTCACTTTGAGAGCTGGGAAGTTGCATTTTCTGTGTTCTGCTCTTTGTGATTAAGACTTCATGATTTTGTTGTGTATAATTATCTGTCATCCTCAAGGTAGCTACTGTACTGCATACCAGACTTAGAACAGAAACTTTCTTAATCCCTTGTAGCTTTAAGCAATTGTGTATTCTACTTAACAACTGAACGTTTAAAACAAAGTGTTCTGATGGGAACATAATAGTTTTATTCTAACATTATCTAATTTTATTTATGAAGACTATTTAAATGTCCATGATATGCAAAATTAAGACTTCAAATACTGAATATGGTAGATGTCCCTTTAATTCTAGAAATGCTTTCCTCAGGGAAAGTACACTGTACATTGGATTTAATCACTTAGTGATAATGTAAAAAATTAAACTATCAGTGTTATCAAGGTTAAATGTTCCTCCCCCCACAATTAACTACTTGGAATGTTCTGAAGCCTTTCTACCACCGAAAACCAGTCAAGCATATCTGTTTCTGTCCTTTAATTCCTAAATACAAATAACTGGGCACTCAGTAGTAACTTTAGGGAAAAAAGCTGCAGAGATTATACTGAAAGATTTAATATTAAATTATCGCAGTTTTAAAATTTGAAGTGCAGTAAAACGCACCATTGGCTCACTTAAAACCAAAACCAATCATCCTTAAAACCCATCATGTTTCCTCAATACAAGGTGCAGCAGAGTTTAAGAAACAAGAAGGGGGGAAAACCCCTCCGCCACAAAAAAAGAAAAAAAAATCCCAACCAAGAATATTGTTTTCAGTGCAAACACCATAGTCTTCAAAAGGTTAACAGTACAAATATTTATGTTCCAGTGTATCTTTACCTACAAGGAAAGTTGCTTCACATTATAAAGTACATCAAATACCTTTAATCCAATCGCAGTACTGAAGTTTACCCTCTCAAATTGATATAGTGGCTGAAACCTAAGTGTTTATACAAGCAGTGTAATCTTCTGGAGAAACTAATGCACACGGTTGAAAGTTCTCACAAAAACCAAGGGCAAAGACTGGAAACTCAACAGCTGGCCCTTAACCATATTAAGTATCAAATGCCAAAAAGTAACCAGCTACTTAACGAGGAGTGAACAGAGACTCCTGCACCAGCATATTAAATCCCATGCTCCGCTCCCTAATTCTACAGGTCATGGAGGGAAGCTACAGAAAACCGCTTCTTGGGCGAAACTCTTCTTGATGGAACACAACCTCACTGGATGTCATTCATTTTTCCAATGTGCAAAGGTTACATTTCTAGCAAAACCCCTCAAACCTAAAGAAAACTTCTGGGACTCGGCAGAGGGAGGTGGGCATATTATTGTAGTCATTCAAAATACGCTTATGAAGTTCACCTAGAATACTATTTCGTAGCACTGTTCTTTTAGGGTTACTAGCTGGGCTTCCAAGAACACTTGAAAAAGGCACCTACTACACTTTCTTAATTAGCTGCCCATTTTAATAATTTTGGTACTATTTGTCACAGTACATCAGAAAACAGCAGCACAAAGCATTAGATGGACAAGTATTTTGTATTTGTTCCCCTTTAAAAAGCAAACATTTTTAAAACGAAAGGCACTCACGACAGAAACTCTCTCTCCAGTTCATATATAGATGGTCGACAAGTTTTGTTCTTCATTCTACATAAAGGCACAGTACAGTCTCTGTTTTGGCCTTCCACATCAATATCAAGTAACGAGGGCATGTGGCAGTTAGTTCTTTCCTCAGTTCCTGGCAAGAAGTTTACATCTGGATCTACACTGCCCTCTAAATATTCAGAGTCTTTAGAGTTTGGTTTAATAATACGTGGAATAATTTGCCATGCATCAATTTTATTTCTTAGAGAAGAAGGTCGAGGCCTTGATATAATATTGACAGCGCTTTGCTTTTCAGTTGAAACATCCCTGTGATTGCTTCTTTGTTGAACAGACGGACAACGCAGAGGTCCAGTAACTGACAGAACTGGTAATGCGGAGACATCACTGGTTGAAGCAAATCCATTAGCTAGAGGAAAAGAAATGCCAAACAAAAAAAGGCAATTTAAACCATGTGACTTTTTGATTCCTTTGCTATTTGCAAAATTGGGTTGCCATAAACACTAGTGGCTTTTTTTCCATCAGAAAAATTAAGAGGTTCATACATTTATGGGGAATCTCCTAAGAGAGGACCTGCAGTGTGCAAATAACATTTTTGCATCTATACCCTCTGCCAGAGGCCATAACAATTTATTTTTTATTTCTACAAAAGAAATACAGAGCGAAAGCATTAACCACCCAGTAACTGGATGAATATTAATATTGGCATAAAGCCCCACAGATTTGTCCAGTTGTTATGAGTTTACACATGTGCAGAGTACCATGAAGAACATTACATTTAAGCCATCGTACAACACCAGTATTGAAATTTAGAACTTTTCAAAAACTCATTGATCATGAACTTCTCCGTTTACATGGAAACCAGATTTAAAGACTTTTTTTTCAGCTTAAATTTTTATCAACAGCTTAACTTAAGGATTCATGGAACACGTGATATAACTTCTAGGTCAAGCAAGTAAATCAAAACTTACCAGACTTGTTTTTAAGTTAACAAGCAGTACTAAAATGATGCTCACTCACTCACCTATGTGGACTGTGAAACTACGTTAAACAAGCGTACTCGCAATCTCAGGAAGTCTACAACTACATACTGCACTTGACAGTCTCAGTTTATTTCAGCCATAATGCTAATATTGTACATTGCACAAAAAGCAGGTTCTTGCCGACATGAAAAGTCCAGGAAAACCTATTTTTGCAACATCTGAGAAAAATAGGTATCACCTTAAAATGAACCCATCTCTTCCCCTTAAATCTCCATACCCACACTCCTAACAGGATACTATTCCAAGCACAGGTAGTTTGTCCAGGATTCAGACACAGAGGGCTTACCCACACACAGTTGTGGTGGCTCAGCTAACACGTGCCAGTGTACAAAAATCTTAGCAATCTCATGCCTTAGTAAATTGTTAGTTTCCCACTGTTTCTATATTTAAAAATCCCCTACATTTTAAGTTCTTAATTACCCACCTGTGGTCTGAAAATTGTTCCCATCTGATAAGGTTCGTCTGTGACCCAACACACTTAACTTTGTCAAGGAATCATTTGGCACATTTTGAGAGTCTTGTTTCAGAGAAAGATTAAAAGGTTGATTTTTTAATCGTGTAGAAACTGTGTTAGGAGCCAGCTGTATCCTCTGTTCTCTCTTATTTTCAGAAGTTTCAGATGAAAAGTCATCAGTGGAACTACATGGACCACAGCCACCAAGCACAGTGCTTACAAATGCATCTTCACTATCAGACTGAAGTAGGCATTTTGTGGAAATGGAGGGCATAGAGAGAAGATTCACAGTATTTGCAGCTGGATTTAGGGATGGAATACTTGTTTCTTCTTTCTTGGACTGCAAAAAAAGGCGCTCCTGCGAAATTTTGAAGCACGCTGAAATATTCCATCACGCTGCTTCTTCTCATCTTTAGGCAAGAGTTCATCTGGACCCTGTGATTTGTTCAGCTCCCTGATATCTAAGCCCAGGGCAACCGATGCAAGGAGGACAGCACATCCATACAGCACTGAATCAGTCTTCTTTTTCTGCAGCGTCCTGCTCAGACTGTTTGTAGGTGTCATTTGAGGAGTACTATTTGTAGAACTAGCAGAGGTTCCTTCTTCAAAGCTCTCATGTTCTACTGTATTCTCTCCCTGATCATCTTTCCAAAGAGGTAGGTTAATATAGGCCTGATTCGGCAACTTAATTGGCTTTGGTCTTTTACTGTCCAAACCTTCAGGGAGAAGTTTCTTATCAGTACAGACACCTATAAAACATTACAGTATACTTTAAGATTGCAATTCAGTTATTTTGCTATTGCATGCCTGCATATGTACACCATTATTTCCTTTCACTTGCACAAGTATTAATCTTGAGGTGTACCGTATGCTCCCTTTAGATACAGCCAGAAGCTCACAGGCTTACATTGTAAGATTCAGAAACACATCCCAAGCCTAAACCTCTTCATGTTCTCTTGATAGTCTTTAGAACGGCAGAAATACCATTTTGCTACAATTTCATCTTTTTAGCAACTGAAAAGCAAACTATTAGAAGCAACCTGCAGATCAATCTTCCTGAGTATGTTAACTGCAAACAGATCATGTTTTTCACATCTGAAAGACTTACCTTTATGTTTATATTTATATTACCTTTATGCACTCAACACAAAGGTACCTCCCAACCTTTATGCACTCAACACAGTTGAACAGCAGATACTGTCTTTGCATTTCCTGTGATATTTGAGGATTTGCAACACTTTGGTAGTGCTTTTCAAATAACACAGAAAATATTTCTGTGTATGGACTACAGTGAAGTAATTTACTGTACACAAACTGCCAGATAAGATCTGGAACACATTCTTCACAAAGCTTTCAACTAAGCCGTGTTCCAAAATCCAGTGAGTTACTAGAAATTTTTTCAATTAATTCATTAGCTCATGGTGGTCTGGAGTAAAAACTAAATTTGACATCTCACACCTAATGACAAATAAAATGGAAGGTATAATTTGACCTAGATGTGTTATTCTTCTATAAACTACTGAACGCTACAGAATAAACACAGAAATATTTGAAATGCAAATATGTGAACTTGTACAATCTGCTCTGTATGTAGAGGTTTATTAGGAAGCTAATAAATCTATAAAATTACTATTTGTGAAGCCTTGATTTATACCCCTCCCAGTATATACAAAGATTAAAATGCCTTTTTCCTAGGGGAAAAAAGAAAAACAGTGTCCAAGCAGCTTACAATTTCTTCTTCCAGCTGGCATAAATCTAGCCACTGGTATGGACACCAAGTTATATCACAGTTTTTTTCCTGACACTGGTAACTTAATTTTCTCAGAGAAAAGAATCTGTAGCATAGAAAGTGTGTGCAAATTTGAAGATGATTATGAATGCTGTATAACCACAGCACATTATAGTAATGGACATAAAAAGCAACATACAGCTATTATGTTCCTGATCTTAAGAGGAAGAGGATTAAGTTTGTTTTTCCTTGTGATTTACTTGTAAGTTGCCTAAATAACTTTAAGATTTGAAATCTACATATTTTTTCTTGAACATTTAGAGAATAAATCTCATTTAAAAAATAGGGAACTAATATCTGGGAATACATCAGGGCTTACGGGTTTTTAAACAACTATGCAGAGCCCACTAACTATAAGCCATTAATGATCATTTAAATGTCAAGACAATTGCTGATTTAGATATTTGTTTTTAAAAGAAGCTAAAAAGTGCTAACTGCAGACCTCATATACAGATCAGCCTGCAAATCAAAAATGTGGAAAAAAAAACCTCTCTATGTGGTACTGCCCACGTACCATGTATATTTCTTAGTTGCTAATAATGGAAATGTAAAGATGTTAACACTTGCTTTTTTTTAATAGATAGGTTTTTTGCACAGGAAAATGATTTTTAGCATGACTACTCTTCTTATAATCTGCATAATCCTTGAGGAATTCAAGCAATACAATTTATAACACGAAGTTGGCTTAAGGCCATTATGTGGCAACTTTAACTTTCTCAAAAAGAGCTCTTACCTTGATCCACAAATAGTGAAGCTAAGGGAACACCCTTCTGATTTTTCATTAGAACGGTTGACCATGGGTTGCTGCCATCTGAAAGGGGTCTTACTCTGAAATAACAATAGTTATTTTGATATTACAGAGGATACCATGCTTATATACACTTTGACAGAAAATTACTATAACCTCTTTCTTTTTAAACATGTAGTACATAACTTGAAAACAGTAAAGCTTTCCAAAGGTAAAAAAAATTGTATATAATAGCACAGAGCCATATGATTATAAATTGACACATGCCTTATATCAAGTATTCCTTACAAGATGAAAATTTCAGGCCTAAAAAGAAAGCCAATGAAAAATGGGCCTTGACTACCTATTGAACAACAAAAGTCGATGAAAACTTGGACAACAGTTTCACTGTGTTAAAGAAATGACGTGAATATTGGAAATTTATTAAACATAGTGACCTTAAAATATCACAAAGCCATTTTCAACAGACGGCCTGGAACCAACTGCTGCCACAGGTAAATGAGTGGATGTCTCTATCAAGAAAAAAAGGCACTATAAACAATTATGTATACTAGAAGAGACAAGGAAAAGGCTCTTTTGCTTCAGAAAAACTGCTAATCTCCAGTTTTGAGCAATCAGAAAAATAAATCCAAAAGTGAAGGTATCCAGCTGATTTTCAGAACCCTTTCACCCTGTGTTTGTCAGTGTAAATGATGTTGCTGGTGTGGATTGTGCTTCACGTATGCGAAGTCAGTCAGTCTTATTTAATCATATGGCAAAGTGCCCACTGTGGGCCATGCTGGCAGTTCCTCAAGTCAACATGCAGAAAGGCAAGGAAGATAGACAGGCCACGAACGCCCAGTATGCACTAGTAGCTCAGTATCTTCCAAGTTTCAAAAACCAGAGATAAACGGTAATAGATAAGAGCCAATAAAACTTTAAGATAAGTAAGCATTTTATCCTCAAGTCTATGTGGGGGAGCTACTCATTATTAATGTAATTTTTAAACTAATTCAAAGGTAGGGCTGAGTTTTAGCTGTAACTAGAGACTGCAGAACTTCTCCCTCTCACTACCCACATTAGTGATTCAGTTACTAAGAACGCTTGGTATTATTAAACAAACAAAATGTAGTAGACATACTTGTCCTTAGAATCTGCACGATCCTTTGTTTGAACTGAACTTGGTCCCCATGTACAACCTCTCTTTTTAAAACTTCTCTTCACATCTTCAAACTCTTCTTGGTGGTATGTCGTGCTCCTTCCCCAAGTTCTGTTGCTTTCATCTGAAGTTACTGGAGATTGGATTTAAAAACACAAACAAAAAAACTTGACACATAAATAGTATTTCTAAAACCCAAATATTTTGACAGAATCGAGTATTTTCTCCACTGCAAAATCATTTTGACACAACGAGTAGACAAAATTTGAGATTTTTTTTCTTTCACAAAAACCACCACACAAACTGCACTGATCTAAAAAGATGAGCGAGAAAGAAGAATAACTTATGAGCTGACAAGAATCCCAAATTAAAGATAAAGCTGCAAAACATATTTTCCATGCTTCCTTTAACTGAGAACCTTATATTCAGGTAATTCAGACAAGTGAGTTAGACTGAGCACTTAAATTCCAATTAAGAAAATATATGCTGCGGAACAACTGGCATCAAATGAAACAGAATATTCCAATTGTGACAATGACGAATGTTTTCTTTCTCACTACACCAAAACAAATTATACTTTTAAAGTCTCTAACCTTCATTAAATGCTTAGTCTGTCACTGTCTCACCGTTAAATTAAACAGAACCAGCACCTTTGAAACGTAATGAAATCTTGCCTTTTTTCATAACCCCACTGGGAAGTTCATATTCACTTGTGATATCTACATCTTGCTGGTACACATATACACTGTTTCTTCGGCCATTAGTTGTGTGTGTATCTGTTTTGGGAATCACTGAGGAAAAATTAAGAGAACGTAGTAGAGATCTTAGTCAAGCTGATTTCAGAAATGGAACTGTTTCCCTTGTAGTTTTATCTTTGGGTCATAAAGCCCAGCTCTAGAAAGGCACTAAGCATCTTTTGATAGCAGGTTTTTACTGTAGGGTTTAGCGGATCCTCTTTCTAGGACCAGATCCAGGCAAGTAGATTTTCATATATGACTGACTAACTGGAAAAGTAATTTGCTATCAATGTAGCACGCTTACAGCCATGATGGAGAGACCTAAGAGGAAAACAACTTAGCCAGTTGTAACAGCATGATAAATGAGGTGGCATTTACATGCCCGTGGTTCTGCCGCTTTGGCACCGCACAGCTGTCCCTGTAGTACGGCACTACTCGCCTCCTTTACGCTCCCATTTGCAACCACCTTCCAGGACCTATGGAATAGATATCTTACTGGTTTTCCTCCTCCCTTTAAAGCACCTTTCAAAATTAGCTGAATTTGTTTTAATAACAAGATCTACAATGAACTAGATTTTTATTTTAACTTAAAAAAACTTTTAGATTTCGAAGCTAGACGTGCTCATGACGCAGGGAGGCAATCAAGTAGCCAACTGTTAGATACGCCTGTTCAAATCACCTGTATTTGAGCAAGTCTTCTCGAAACAAAGACACTTTGAAGTTAAATCAAGATAAAACATTATTGTGGGAAAGAGAATTTATTTTGCACAGGTGCAGATGGGTGTGGAAACTAAATTGTTTCAGCTAGATACTCCTGAGAGATATGATAAGCTTTTAGGTAAAGCCTAGGGATCCAAATTCAGAAACAGAAGTGTACTCCTTTTAAAGGAGAGCCTTTATGTTTTCCTGTATGTTCTAGTCCCACAAATACAAATGCCTGATTAAATAAAAAAAGAAAAGAAAAATCCCCAGTGGCACTTAGCACACATGCAAGGAGTGGCACTGCTATAGCTTACAGAAGGCTGTGCATTTAAAAAAAAAAATCCTCAAGTTTTCAGAATCATGCCAATACCTGACACTTGCTTCGTTTCCAAGCATTTCTATGCAGAGTAAGGAGAATGAAAGGTAAAATGAGACAGTCTTGTTTATATGTAACTACGACATTTTACTGAAAGAAACCTTTCTTACTTTTCTGCAGTAAAAACCCAACCAACCAAAAAACCTGCCACACAGTCTGAGGTCGGGAAACCATTATCAACACAGATACTATGTCAGCTAACTTCCGAAAAAGATTTTATGTAATTTTCCATCCATCTCAAATTTTCATTAAGAAAATCAAGACAGGGTTTGTTCACCTCTCTCCTTGAGCCATAACATATGGGTAGTAATGGTCTTCGCCCAGGAAACTCTATCAGTTGCAGTTCAAACAAATAATACAGTTACTGCCAGAAAATACACCACTTCTCCTTCAGACACTAATAATGAAAAGGATTTCATAAGGCAGAGGTATTCCCAATGGAGATGACAGATCTGGTTTCTATCCAACTTTGTTCAAAGTTTCAGGCCAGTTTTAAAAAATTAAAAAAAAATAATAATCTTTAAACTAGCTACAGAACAGCCTGCAGAAAAAAATCCCTGTGCATTTTGATTTCCCCTCCTCCTTATTTACATCTGATAAAGCCAGATTCTGAAGTGATTTCCTTCAGAGATGACTACCCTTGCAAGAGAAGACAGTCACTACCTATAAGCAACCAGCTGGAACAGGTTCCACTGATTTCATATAGAGAGAAAAGCTTAAGGCATTCCATGCTGAATATAGACAGACAATTTACTTTGCACAATAGATCAGAGAGTACAATCGCAAACAGTGAATCCTGTAGGAACTGTTTTCTATCCCTACATATGTAATCCCCAAATATAAATATAGGCTTCACTGTAACAATATGATCAGTTTTCTTCCATATTCATGGTACCTCCACTACATGAGCACGAACACACCTACCCTCCTGTCATCAGTATACATGGAATAACATAGACCTACAAGCGTACCCACGATTTTATTTTTGTTTCTTTCGCTTGTCTTCAAAAAAGCTAATGCAAGCTTTCTTCTTTATTTTCTTCTATTTTTGTATTTACTTAAAGCTTGCTTCTCTTTTGACATAAGCAAGCTGGGTTGCTGGCTGATTCTTCGGCCTTTCCATCTTACATGACTCCCTTATTCTCGGAGTCTTTCTTTTTTTTCTTTTTTTTTTTTTTTTCTTTTTTTGACAGTCCATAACTGATTTCCTTTATCAACTCCAATACCGAACAACTTGTTTTCCATCTTACATGGGTTTTAAATGTGATGCGCTGCCTTTTGCCATTATAAATTTTGATTCTTCATTGTTTTATCCCGGTCAGTTTACAAATGAGTTCCTGAAGTTATTAAGGGAAGATACGATTTAAAGCATTCACAATCATTTTGAATTACTGAAAATTACTTAGCATTTTAGCAAGATTATCCCTGCCATCAAAGAACAAGTTGTGAATGTTAGAACAAGTTAAGGGACCTGGAAATCAGACAGAAATCTGTCTGGAATCTGATACTACTACCAGTGAGTGTATGGAACAGTCTTTATTGACCAAATGAACAAATAGAAATGGTGGAGACTTACATTGTATAGCTCGAAGACGAGGAATTATTGTGGGGCTACTTGATGGACTAGAGCTGTTACTGTTTAAACTCCTCCTCTTGTCCAGATTGGGGGATGCCTGCACTGTTATTTTGTGCTGGAAATCTATAAGAGAGTAAACCAAAACAGTTTTAATGTCCTAAATAAAAAACTCTTCAAGAGGTTATACTGCTGTACTTCTTAAAACAATCAAAGTTGTATAATGAATTAGACTTGACAGCGTAAGAGATGTTCATACTAAAACCACTGACAAACTCTTAATGTAACTACTTAGCTATTGAGTCAAAGAGGCAGGATTTCACACCTGCACAGACACTATATAGTAGGTTTGCAGTAACATCAACAAAAGCAGGTAGGTCCAAGTGGAGAGACATATCCACATCACAAGCTGTTACTCAGTCTTGTTGGTTGTCACAGACAGAAAAATCTCAGTATTTCATCTCAAATTAATCAATATTCATGGCAATCAGATTTGCAGGTTTTTTTTACATGTAATTCATATACAACATAAAAAGTAATATTAACAAAGAAATTACATCTATCAACATGTCAGAAAAACAAGACACCAAACTACAGAACTACAAATATTTATAACAATGCAGTAAAAAAATAGAACAGCAGCAAATATTGGCAAGTAGGAAAAATTTTACAAAACAGAATTTGACGATATGGACCTCTCTAATCCCCATCATTAGTGCAATTAAATTGTATGCTATTCTTACAATAGAATTGTCTCAAGGATAAGTTCATCGGATGATTCTTGACAACAAAGAGCTAAGTGCTATTCTGAACAAAACTCTTTATTCTAGCAGTTTTTCAAGCTAAATATGAGCAGAACTGGAAACGAAGCACAAAATATTTAGTTTAAGCTTGTGATCCAGCATAAGCCAATCTAACATGCTTGTCTGGGAGACTGTAGTGTGATTTTTATTTTATTTACTGTTATTATTGAAGTAAGGAAAAATAAGCTTATTTCAGTAGCGCTGAAACAGAACTCTAAATATTACTGTCCTCTTTGTCTCTTTCCAACTACTAGACAGCTATGATTTGGTCAGACCTGTGTTAGTGTGACATTAAGTTCTTACTGCGTTAGTAATAAACCGACAGACTTGACCTGGCAGGTAGGCCATCAACACCAGGATGCTGGTACCACTGCTGAAGGCTTTCCAAGGACCGGCGTAACCTTGAATTTCCGCAGCGCCATCTCGTGGCAACGTGGAAAAGGCACCACTAAACCAGTCCCCGAGAGTAAGAAACCAACCACCAGCTCTCTACAAACACTTCTCCTTTGCAAAGGGGGCGTCTGAAAGCATTCATGGGTGCAATTAAATGCTCCAGCATTCAAATTATACGATATTTGCACTCTGAAATAATATCTTCTGTTGCTATTACAGCGGTTTCTTGCATAAAGAAAGGCACTGAAGATTGTTGTATTCTGCGACTGCAGTTAAGTGTGCAATTTGGACCTACCAGACCTGTAGCTCCAGCCATTACGAAGTGCTGTTTTTCTACTATGTATTTGCAAGTTTACGGCAAACAGCACTAATATTTGATCATGTTAGAAAGTTCTGGGATGTGATAAAAAGGTATTTTTCTATCTCCGCAAAAAGAACGATAGCAAAAATCTGAACACTGAATCAGTCTTCAATCATTTGGCCCCCATGCCAGCAACCTTTCCCTCCAGGTACAATGGGCTTCTAGCTGAATCAGGTGAAAGATTCTTCCAGCTGAAATGAGGAGTACTCCACAAGAATATGATACGTGAAAGTTGTTTTCTTTGGGGGGGGAAAAAGGGGCTATACAATTCTTACCGTATCCTTTTGCATTATTAGGGTAGGAGGGTCTGACAACGAATTAAAATAGTAGCCAATACTGAAAACATTAACCATGTAACTGAAGCCTGCATATTTTATTGTAATATATACTGTGAACTTTAAAAAAAACTGCAAACCTGAAGGCAAACTAATTCTGTGTCCATCTTTAAGTTTTAACCGGCTTCTTTTAAATTTGCCCTTCCTTTTCTTTACATTGGGTTTCTCTTGATTTAACTGGAATATCATGATATTCAGCTCACGCTCCAGTACATCGATCTCACGTTCTGCTAACTGTTGCTCACGGCGCTTAAGTAATTCTTCTTGAGATTTTTGCTGAAGAGCTGCTCTTGTCAACTCTTCTTCTCGCGATCGAAGCTCCTGAAGATAAGATTCACACAAGTAAAACCAAGTAATAATATGAAGGTTTTATTAAAGGATATTTAAAATGCATAGCAGGTTGTATTGCCTTATCTATTTTCATGACTCACTATATACATGTAACATGCACGTATGACCTTCCGACAGTCCTCCGTTCTGCATAAGCCAAGATTTGGTATCCAGACACAATCAAGCATTGTACAGATTTCCTTTTAACCATTTAACTTGAGTCGCTTTACTTAAGGTAGGTAAGCACCAGCAATGGGGACGACACATCCAATCAAAGATTATCACCTTACAGCCTAGCAGAAAACATGCTCAAATACTTTACATCAGAAACTCGTAGCATCAGGGCTGCTCTTAGACAGCTCCTTCGCACTAACATAAAGTCAATGACCTGATGAATACACAAATGAAGGCCTCTATCTTAAATTTCCTAACCTTTCCTGTTTTTCAGCCATGTATTAAGTAGCACTTTTCTATCTAGAAAAGCCATCAGTATTACAGCAAATGAGGATTAGTGTAACAGGATAAACCAAGTCATAAGACAGAAGACAGCTGTTTCTTAATTAAAATCTGTGTAATGTCAAACAGCTTCTAACCACTGAATTGCACCACATAGACTTTCCAACCATCAATCCCATAGAATTCTTTTCCCTTTACACTTTTTTATTTTGGAGAAGGAAAAGCTTTAGTGAGGAAGCTAGTTAACTTTTCAGGGTAAATGAATACCCAAGGCTGAACAGCTGTAAACCTACCATCTTAAAATTATCTTAATCTTCAGCTTCCAAAATAAGTTAAAATATATCTGAAATTTAAGTAGACCTCCCTTCATAGTATGAGGCATATTATACATGAAAAAGACCCAGAACTATTGTCGTTAGTACTGCTAATAAAAAAGAGTACAGAAAATGGAGAAGCTACAATGTACCGGTATCAGAAGATACTGATACTGTATGTTTCTCACTACATGTGTTTTTATTTTTATGTATGATTGTGAAAATTCTACCTGAATAGAAATTAAAATTCAATTCAAAACAGAAAAGCAGCATTTGAAATTAAGTTATGCTAAAAGTTCTGGATAGATAAGAATCTTATTCCTATTTAAAATTCATTCATTTTGTCACTGTACAATCTCATAATTGTGGTGTTGGCGTTTTTTGGGTTTGGTCTGGTGTTTTGGTTTTTGTTTGTGTTTTTTTTTTTTCTCCAGAGCACACTGCCTACTTCTGCTCATCAGCATCCAGCAATGTTGTATGCCAGCACAATTCCTTATCTCATACAGTGAAAGCAAAAAACCGAATTTTCTGCTATTTTTAACTCCCACTTTGTCTTGAATAAATTAGTTCCTGAACTATAGTACTTGGGTGTTTTCAAATGAGAGGAAAAAAACCCTCTCTGTCCTTGTCAAAAAGCATATGGATGTCAAAAGACAGGTGAGCACTGAAACAAACTCTGGTTCAGTGAGAAGCATCTGTTTCTCAAAGACACTCGTTTTTTCTTTACAACTATAGCATAAACACATTGCCTATCACTGTTTTCAAATGTAATTGAAATGATTGACAAATTTCATATGGTTTTCTAATTTTGAGTGAGCTTGTTTCAACACAATGTTTTAAATTTGTTTTTCTTTTTTTTAAACCTGCTGTGCTTAACATACAGTTTCACAAAAGGCAGTTCTGTCTCTTGAAAATTCAGAGGAGCCTATCTCCATGCCAGCAAGTAAGGTTTGGGGTTTTGTTCTTTTGTTTTGTTTCGTGGGGGTTTTTTTTTGTTGTTGTTGTTTTTTTTTTTTTTAAAAAGATATTTAATCACTCCATTTAGAGATTGCTGTGCATTCTTACTTTCCTCCTCCTCCCATTCAGTCAAAACCGAACAACCTAAAACAAGGATTGGAAGCAGAAGTTGCATGAATTCAAATTTAGAATAAAGGTACTTCACAGTTTAAATAGAAAATATGTTTATTACTGCATTAATACAGTAAAATAAATATATATTAGAAGACACTGTTGATTATCCACTTCTTGTCATCCTCAAATACAGGTTCCACAAATCTCAGTAACTAGGCAAAAAATGAGGGTCTGTATTGAAAAGGTAGACCGTCTAGAAAAAATAGTTTCCTGACTGAGAGATTAAGTATTTACTCTTTTCCAAATAAACTAATTAAAAACAGACTTACTGCAATTAGTTATGCAATGTCTTTACACCACTCTACAATTAAAACGCCCATTGTAAGGAAGCTAGGAAAGAATTCTATATTTAAGTTGCTCAAGAACGTTTGTCAAGAGGAGATTGTGATCTTCGCTTGGAGTGGGCGTCACCATCGTTCATTTACAGCAAGCCCTTGAGGAAATTCCTCCAGCTACAGAAGCTCTCCTTTTCCAGGGCATGAGACTCCATGCAGGATTTTTTTGTTTGTTTTATTATTATTGTACAAATACTTCATAGACATTACTTTCTCCCTAGTATCTGTCAGTAAAATTGATAGTGTGCCAAATTAAATAAGCCCGCGCACATGAAAACCTTGTCTAAGTCAAAGTTACATGCTTTCGTTCTTAAACAGGTTTACCTAATTAGGGCAGATGCCTTCGGAGGTGCATTTACTTTGGCATACGAGAAGTAAATTTCATTTTATCTTTCCCCTCGCTAATTAAGCCTAACTCATTCTTACACCAAAAATATGACTCTTCTCCCAAAGCTCTGCACCAACTTATTTAATCCTAAGCTTGTTATAGTCAGATTTTTCTTCAATAGGAAATCTCATACTGGACTAATGCCACCAGAAAATAAAAATATAAACAAAAACCTGAGCGGGAATTCCTGTTACAATGTGTCCCAGAGTAAATAGGGGGAACTTGTTGGTTGAGCAGTTGCTGGAGGGGCGGAAAAGAGAGTTGTGCCCTATGGCAGGTTGTGGCAAGCACATGCAGTGGCTGGTGGCCCCACGGCAAGTAAAAAGGGAAGTCTCTACTCTCTGTAGAGGGACTACAGCCCACCTGGAAAGGAAGAGGTCCAACAGCTCCAGAGGCACACAGCCCAGCTCTAGCAACCTGTATACCCACTGCAGGCAGGGCAGAGACTACACAGACAACACTTACCCAGTTCTGTGAGCCAAAATGGAAAACGGAAAAGCAGAGAGGGGAGGAAAAGGCAGACAAGAAGTATTATAAGATTATTATTGACGATACTGCAATCTTAGCGGTGATCAATAAATTCTGATACCACATATGCTGATTTTACAGTAGATCTGTAATGTCACACCCATCACCAGCCAAGAGTCCACAAACAGCCATTTGTGACACTTGATGAGAAGAAGTGAGGGACAAAGGCTACTGACAGTGACTTGCAAGATAAGAGTTTAGTTTTTGCTTTTGTCAAAGTGACTATGTCTTTCATAAAGATTTATTCACAAATCACTGCATCTCAATTCTCTTCTTCCTCATCTATTACCACCTCGTGAAAAATAACAAATATATACTGGGCAATAATTCTACTACAAGAAAGACCTGCAAAGAAGGAATCTGTTTTTACTAGAAGTATTTCTAACCGGCGCTCAAGGGGACATCTGGCCTATTCCAACTGTTATCTTTATCAAGTTGTCTAAAGGAAAACAAACCTCAGACTGATTAAAAGCTCACTGAAGTAACTAAAAGAGAGGGCAAAAAGAATTAACAGCGAGAGCTCATTTAGCACAAATCTATCATGACATGAGAATATGGAAAGAAGATCAGTGACAGGAAGCTGGATAATAAACAAGAGAAACTGGATTTGCTGATTCACGAGTACAAGTTTGACCTAATGAATCTTATCAATACCTGGCAAGAAGATTTCCAAAACTGCAACACTGAAAGAGATTAATATTATCAGTTTGTTCAGGAAGAAGAGGGATAAAAGCAATGTTCCAGTTTTGGAAAAGAAGCCATGTGACACAGTCATATAACAGGACGAAAAGCTTTTCATTCCCACAACTAAGGAGAATGTTCAGCGGCAGCTGAAAATTTGCAGTGGTTATAAAGATTCGCTAGGGGGTAAATAAACTACTCTTTGTTTGTTAAGTGATGCATCTAAGTATCCAAGAAAAAAAAAAGTAACACATTTTAAAGACAGCCTGCTGCCACATTTACAGATCTACAACCTGTTTTCTTTGGGGAGAGAGGTGTGGATATGTTTCTCTTTCAACTGCCTGCGCTTCTTGAATGAGCCATTCCTAAGATAACCCTCGCTTACTACAATAACATTACGCTTCCTCTCAAACTTAACATTTCACTTCAACTGAAATACCTCTAGCTCCATCAGCATACACAACTGTGTATTGTTTTTGTTAAGGAAGAAAAGGGAAAATCAACATTGTCTGAAATTTGAGAAAACCAGTATTCAAACCTTTTTTCTAAAGTAAGTTTGGCGCAAGATAGTGACAGGGTTATCTTAAAATACTGTCTAGAAACACATTAATGGCATTTAAGAATAGTACATCCACCAACAAGAATAAGCAAGTTAAATTAAAAATGTTTTAATGAGAGAGTAAATCCTCTCTCCCAAGTAGTTTATCCTCTTGAACCACTACTAAAATAGGTTTCTAGTATTATATTGGTAAGCCACAATTCAAAAGTTCAAAACTGCTGTATCGCATAAATGCACATACACACATACCCTTCCTTCACTGCCATGCAATTGGGAAAAAAAAAAAAATAAATCAACTTACTTTTTCCTTGGTCCTCAATTCATTGAATATCTGTTGAATTTCCAACTTCCAGTCATCTTGCATGGAATGGAAAGACTCTTGAGGCATTTCAGTCATAACTGCCCCTTCAATGGCAGTAAGCTGTTCAAGAATTAAGGCAAACGATGGTCGGATATGAGGGTCCTGCTCCCAGCATTCTAGAATTTATCAAAATCCCATCAGTTTTTAATAATACATAGAACTTTTTGAAGAATTACATGAATTTCAAGTTACTTGGTACTGTACTTCAAGTTCAAATGTGTTCCCTTTATCTGCAAGGCTTCCCTAGCTCCTTTTCCATTTACAGAAGTGATATCTACCTACCTGTACTCAGAGGACTGTTTTTGTATTAATAGCCAACTTTTTTTTCATCTCTATCTTTAGGATCTGAAATAGCAAATCTAGCACTACTGCACAGAAGCGATACATATAAAAAGTAAAGAAATTCATTAAACACAAGGAAATAGCCACTAGCAAGCAATTTTTATTTCTCTCTAAAGTATTTCCAAAATGTTTTTGACACTCAGAAAGAAATAATGAGGAAAAAAATGCCATTTGCCATTCTCGCCCTTGGAATTTTAATCTTGATCTTGTGTTGATTTGTAGTAAAATTGAATGAAATTGAATAAAAATGAAAATTAATGCAATTTGAGTGTAAAAGGAGATCAGCAAAACCAGAGCAAAAAATGTACTCTGTTACTACTGAAGAACTTATGTGGTACACTCCAATACTGTATGACTTCCTCAGAAACACACTCAACTGTCTGCAACATCAGATTGCCGTGAAAAGAAAAACCGAATACTTTGTACACAGTACATAATCAAATGAAGTATTTATTTTGCAACCCCGTGTTTATTACAGGCAAGGCTACATACTCCCAAAACATAACTATTTAAATACATCGGAAGAAACAACATAGATACCTTTCATTAGTTTTGCAAATGGTTCAGGGCAGGTGGATGGAATGGGCAGAGTAAGTTTATTGACAGCAACTCCGTAAGCCACAGCAAGGCCATCAATGCCACGGTAAGGAACTTCTCCTGTAAGCAGTTCCCACAGCAACACTCCGTAACTACAAAAGGTAATTTTTTAACAGTTATTTTCTGAATACTGACACCTTGTTTACTCAAGAACAAACAAGTATCTGTCCAACCATATACTGAAATTCATGAGGATTTCCCACGTCAAAGGTGAATACCTTTACAAGTTGGCTCTACTTTAGTCATCTTTCCACTAACCGCGATTAACCAAACCGGATGCGACTCTAAGACTGGCTTGCACTCCTATTCAAAATGTAGCCTGAAGTCACTTTTCTAGAAATGCTAGTATCGCGTAAATCTCACAATCAGAAGTCTGAATGACAGGAAAACAAGTAACCTTCTCCCCAAGAAAAAAAACACACGCACAAAACAATAAAGAAAACCTCAGCAGAGCATTCAGGCCATTCCCCTTTCCAAACATTTACATAGATGTACATGCTAATTTTTTTTTAGAATGATAGTAATAAAAAACCACCAGAAAAGCCCCAGCTCTGTTCGGAAGTTTGCATTTCTAATCCCTTGTGTGTTATATAAAGGCTTGCTAACTTTTCCTTTCCCACAGAAGATGCAACAAGATTGAGAAATGATTACACACACACAACTAATTTCTCCATACTAGAAAAGAAAAACCAAACCCCAAACAAAACAACATTGTCTCCAGTGCAAGGTGGTGGCATGAAGAGATTTTTTTTCTCAGCATCAGGTACAGAAATTAATTCCTATTGCAGCAACACTAATTGTAACAATTTCTGCTATGCTTTCTATTCTAAAAGAGTTGGGTGTTGCTTTTACCTTCCTTGGGTCTGTATGCCCAATGCTCATCTTGCTCAAACGATCCAAGCCCCTACAAAGGGCTGGTATAGCACGCTCGCTGCTGCTGCCACTGAAATGGATAGCTTTCACAGTCATTTTTGTGGAAGCAGGAATTACTCTTTTTAGAACATAAGCCTAAAGTGGACTTTATGCCTAGGTTGGTGGGTTTTTTACTTCCCTCCTCTCTTCCTGCCAGGGAACCACTATCTGTAGAACAAGGATACAAAGGACAACTTATTGCTGCTTTTGAACAGTAAAGTGAGCAGGCAAAGGGAAAAAAGGGAATACAAAGTACTCCTCTTGCCCTTTCTCTCCAGGCGTGTGAAGAAACTACCTGTAAATTTTGCAGGACTGGAACAAACTCTCCTACATGAGGAGAAATGCACACAGCACTGGGGAGGGAAGGGCTACGTACCCCTCAGTACCAGAAACAGCACCTCACCTACAGCGAGAATAACACACACTAGTTAAGTTTTTCTATCACTCTCTCCTTAATGAGAAAAAGGTCATTCAGCATTACACAAGACCTTATAACATCACTTTAATAAATAACAGAAGAGCAAACTATGCAATATCAGCAGTGTTTTATCTATGTCCTGTTTCTCTAAGAAGTTTTGCCTATCATAAAATCTTAGAAAACTAATGAATTTGCAGTGTTAACAGTTAACCAAAAGCTGAGGAATACAGTCTATTACTAAAAAGTAGAAAATAGAATAAAAAAGAAAAGTCTGGGGCTTCTTAATAATTTCCTCCCAATTTTTTCCAGTTTAATTTCTGCATTTGCTTGTATACTCAAAGAAGGATAAAATAATTAATTTCAATTTTGTTTTAAATCAGTGGTACTTCTGACGATAATGAGTACAACATTTCCTACAGTACACATACATTTTAGGCGTGCTAGAAGAACTCTACTGAACTACATCTCATCTGTGCACTTAGAGAAAGGGTACAAATAACGTCATGCTCTCTCAGCAAGCATAAACTGTTTGTAATTCAAGGAATTCCCTTGTTCAGACTATTCTATGCATATTTTAGCATGAACTCTGAAGTCAAGCAGAACTATAAATTTAACTAAAAAGAAATAATCTTTTATAAAAAGTTGTGACACACTATTACTTTAGTTATATTTACAATTCAAGCCTTTAATCCTAAGTAGTTCTCAACAGTGCCAAGAAGGTGGTTGTAAAATTTTAAACAGACCAACACAGTAATAGCCTGAAACCGTCTCTTTTAATGAGAGTAGTTTTAATATCAAGTACCAAGAGCCAGCGCTGTGGGAGGAAAACTGAGGGGAGGAACCCTAAAGACTTTCTAGTCCTGCCGTATTAGAGTTTTTGGGAGGTACTAATTTATCATTGTCTAGGACAACAACTACTTATTAACTCTCTCAACTACACAAGCAGTTACTTTGTGTATTAAACTCCATGAGCCCACCTACAGTTGTTCTATGTATACAGTCAGAGCCAGAAAATAGCTTTTTTTAAAAGAGCAAAAGCCATCTCCCTTTCCTTCAGTAAAAAGCAAAAAATACAGAACATAACATGCTTGAATTATATATTTTTAAATCACAAAAACTAATACACTTTCAAAAAGATGTCCTTTTAAGTATTTTCATTATTGAAAAATTCTCCTACTGTCAAGCGTGATTTAAGCCTTACTATATCCCATTCCAGCAATAACTTGCTGGTTTTACATATTTTAAAAGCTGACCAAAATGAATGTAACGTTCTCAAAGTTTATTTTACTCTACAGTCCATCTTCTAAAGCAGAGGTTACTAAGCATTGCTACATGAATCACTTCAAAATTACACAAATGTGCCAGGCAAAAGCAGCTGCCAATTCTGCTGTACGGTAAGCGCTTCCTAGCTTTGCCAAAAACTTGCACAACGGAGGCACGCGTTACTGTAAAGACCACTGCTGAAACACACCACCAGCACTCGGAAATCCGTGGGCATATTTGCACTTTCAGGGTCCATACAGAACACCAAGACTGACATACCACTAAGAAATGTGTGATGATCGATGGAAGGGTAGGGCTGAAAAAGTAGAATTCTAGTTTGGGAATTTGGAAGCATATGCCAAAGAATAATAAATGCAGTAGGTATAACTCCGGTTTGGGAAGCAAAAGGATGCACGTGCAGGGACTGGAAAGCAGCAGTTCTGCTATCTAGGATGACACCTGAGAACACGCAGCCTGCAAGGCTCTGCATGAAAATACTCCCACAACATTTCCGAGCACTGGCTGATTCTGGAAGACTAGCTGGAAGTGTGAGTATACTTGAGCAGCCTCAACTGCTCTTCCCCCCCCCACCCCCACCCCCTTTAAGAGGTCCGCAGACTTCTTTTGGAGACTCAGCACTCAGCATGTGTAACTGAAGTTTAGAACTTTCCTGAAATATAACTGTGTTCTCCTCTTAGAGAGACCCATACTTAAATTTGTAACCTGAATGCTTTTTAAAACAAAAACCACTCCTATACCAGGTTATTCTTTATTTGCTTTTCTTCTAAAGAAAGAGTAAAGATAAGCAACAGAATAGATCAAGGTGCAGTAAGCAGAAAATCTTTAGAAGCCAAGAAGGTCTAAACTATACTGTACAACACAGCCTTTCTACTTAAAAACCTCTCCTGTTAGATGTCCATCATTGAGCTAAATACTTACATTTTTTACAAGAGAGGCGTGCAGGAGAGAAGGCGAAGAAGAGAAATACTGTAGGTTCCAAAAATGTAAACTAATGTTGCAGCAGAATATAAAATAATTGCACCAAAGCATACCCCCTCAGATACCTAAAATCACAGCAACAAGACTGGACAGGACCTGTAATTAAGCATGGAATACAGCTGATTAGGGAAACTCCTACACCCAACCTCCACCCCGCAAAAGAAAAAAAAAATATTTAAAGAAAAAAGGAAAAAAGAATGAAAAAAAAAAAAAGAATGAAGCCAAAGATGTTTCTCAACTGAGCATCAACTCAGACTGATGTAAACAAAATGCTGAAAATCAGTTCCAGACACAAGACAAATGGGTGTCACAACACAGTAGTGCAGATACAGAATCATTCTGAGAATGCCAAAAGTATTACTTCATGCTGTAGAATATCAGGCATCTAAGCAAAATAGGACCTATTTAAGAATTATACAACATAGAACATGCATAAGAAGGCATGAGAGAACAGATTAAAGTCCTCCCCCTCCTTCCCCAAATAGCTACCTTGGATCCTTCAGAGAGAGAACATTTCCAAAAGAAAGGAAATGTAGACTTCTCAGGGTGAGGCACAGCAGCTTTTAAAGTCTATTGTGCAATCACTGCTTTTCCCCACTTACAAAGCAGAACTAGATTAAAACTAAAGTTTAAATTACCTTTCTACAATACATGTATCCCACACTACACCACTCAAAGATAGCATCAGTATTGAGAGCCATATTATTTATATGATCCAGAATAATGTCTTTAACAAGAAATTCACAAATTTAACATAGGGAGCTCCCTATCTTTAAAATTAGAGCGTGAGTTAAAACAATTTTGTGCTGAACACACTCCCCTCACTCCAGCCACTGGAAGCAAAATCTCTATAAATATAAAAGCTTAGATCTGATGTTCACTTTTACACACGATGACATTCTAGATTCCTAAAAAACAGTACTAGTTTAAGTTAACATTTGGCAAAGTTATGGTTCGCAGCTTATTTTTGTTTATCAGACATACAAGGTAACAACTGGCTGGTCTCATTTCTTTATGCAGAATGAGACTTTTCAGACATCTGATATTAATAAGCATACCAATACCAGATCAATCACATGTTAATGTATCGAGACTATATGGCTGTTTATAAGACTCCAGATAAAATACTTAGGTATCTTAACCAATAGGTACTTTAAAGGCTTCTCTTAATGAGATCTTGCTTTCTTTAAAAACAAACAAACAAAAAACCACAAACCAAACACACTAAGTTTTTCTGTTATTTTCCCTCTCCCTCCTCCAATTTGTAAGTCATGAGTAACTAAAGATAGATTAAATGAACAAGGTGCTGAGAAATGAGTATGTTTCTTAGAACAGCTATACTTGCCACATGCCGAGACAATAACCCAGGAAACCACCAAAAAAATTCCAAATAAAAATTCATTCAAAAATCTCAACGTAGTTGAGACATCCTGAACATAGTCTTCATCAGACAAACTTCTTACCTCCAAATATCACTTCCTTTAGAAAACATGGAGGACTTGATCACTTCTGGAGCCATCCACGCATAAGTCCCTGCTGCACTCATTTTGGTTGTTCTGTGCCACTCTCTAGCCAGACCAAAGTCTGTAATCTTCAGAGTTTTGTTACAAATGTCATCATATTCCATCTTCTCTAGCAACAGAACTGCAAAAGATTGAGTTCGTAAATTAATGCAACGGGAATCAAATCAAAATATCCAGTCTTCGTATTAATTTCACATACAACTTGTACTGCACAGATAATTGTATAGTAAAATGTTGTTAAAATATTGTGATTTTTATAAACATGAAAAAGCTTTTTGATAATGCTAAGCTATTCTAAGCTATAAAAGTGACAAATACCTACAGTGTCATGAGTTCTTTATGCAATTGTGTGAGCAGATATTAAACCAGCACATGACATCCACTGTAAAGAAATGTAAAGCACAGCACGTAAGTTTAAGAAAGCCCAGAATCCTAACATCCCACAGATGATGACAGGCTGTGAAAAGGGTAGGCACTTTGGAACAAGATTCTGAAGTAATAAAAATAGCAGTAGTAGTAAAACAAAACAAATATTAAGAATTCTTATAAAAGACTTAGAAAACAAAGCAGCACGTATTACATCACTGTATAAAAACTGATCCTTAGTACTGCACCCAGTCCCGGTTCCTACTTATCTCAAAAAGTATATAACAGAACTGAAAACGGCACGGAGAAGGACACAACCAGGGTGCTCAAAACAGCATGTCCACAGCTACAAGGAAAGGTTAATAGACAAGGAGTCTTCCATCAGGAAAAGAAACAGCTGAGAACAGAATCTATAACACCACCTACGGAATGAAGAAAGCTATAGGTAACAATTGCTCATGGTTTCTCAACACAAGAAACGGACATCATTGAGTAAAATTAGCAGATAAGAATCAAACACGTGGCAGTCGTTCACACAACACACAGGTAGGCGAACCCTGGAATTCTTGGCATAGTATGTGAATAGTATTATTTTACAGAGATTTAAAAAGCACCTACACAAATTCACAGAAGACAATTCCATAAAGAGCATTTACATCAAAAAAAAGTGAGTTTAAGTTCAAAAAATCCCCAGGCCACAAATCAGTCCAAGTTGGGAGACTATACCAGGGGAGTTAGCTTGGCTTGGGAGTCCACAACTGGCAACATGACACTGGACTTGGATCAAATCCATGTTATGTTATATCCACTGCACCCTTCATAGATGCAAATGAGTAAGTTACCACAGCATGGATTCAGCATCTGACTTGTTCGTAACACAACAGCACTGGCAGAGTTGTAATACACCTTCACAAAACAGCGTTAAAAGAAAAGAGAACTGGGTTATCGTGTTAGAGCTCACAAGGAGAAAGACAACAGATGCAATGGAATCACTATTAACACACCGTAATTTTAAGACCATATTCAGTTCCTCTGTCACTGTCTGTGGTTGTAACTGTTAGCTTTAACTTTCTGTTAAAATGATCTCCTGGGACAAAGACCAAAGGCTAAATTACAAATAAGAAGAATCATAAATGCATGCGTTTTCCAACTATATGTATGGCAAAACACAGTACAGGGAACCTATTAATAAAAAGGCAGAAGAAGAATTACCTTCCCTTACAGAGGAAAAACTGATGACCTTGCATTTGCAATTTTAAGAAATCATTGTTGACGGTACAGATTAATTACTCCTTTACAAATATTTCAAAAATGACATCAAATCCAGTCGAAAAAAAGGAGAAACCACATTCCATTTTCAATAAGCTTCTTAACACAGAATAGAAGAAACAAAGGCCAAAACGGTACAGACGAACCAAGAGCTCACCCGTCAGCACCACCAGAACAAGTTAAATTCATACAAGAGTTTTTATACTTTTATACTTGAATCAAAGACCTATTGTTTGCTATTCTATTTCAAACATGTTCAGCAGAATTCCTGGCATTCCTTGTCAGTCAATGTGACCGAAACCAAAAACAGTCAGTCTTGCAAAAGGTAATAACTGGCACGTGGCCAAGTTTCATCCTACAAAGGGACAACGTTTCTTAGCAGTTCAAACTTCCCTTTCCGGCCGGTAGCCAGGAAAACAGCAATGCTATACACAGATTACTGAGCAGCTGGGTAGTAAAAATGCTCGGCATAGCTGAGTAGTGCTCTGTAAGTGCTTCCCCGGCAGCAGCCTGGCAACCGGCGCTGGAGCATCCTTCTGCCACCTCCACAGCTCCCCGGCCCTCCCTGGCTGCTAACCTAAGAGATTGTGGAAGGGACTTGCTAACTGCTGCTAACCTGCGAGAAGTCCCTTCTGCAAGCTTGGACTTACCCTGTTCACTCACCCCAACTTGTTTCTTTTTCAAATCCCTTAAATTGTCTCTTCAGATTCCAATACACTTGCAATATTAAGTTGGGTAAGACGCAGTTTAGCACTTTCTGGTTTAATGTTAACGTTTTTCAGACCTTTTGTTTTCCACAAAGAGTAAAGTTCATTCTTCCATTAGTGCTTTCCTTCTGGCAAAGACAGACTAAGATATTTAAAAGCACAAAGCCCATTTGAAAAGAAATTAAAACCTACCCAAAAACCTGAATTAGATGAGGAATGCAGAAGTGTAGGAAAATCCTATGTCCAACTCGTTTATTTTCACATAAGCAAAACCAGAGTCTCTAACTATTTCTGAACGATTCAAAATCGAAGAGAAGGAGACTAAGTTGGACATGAGAAGACTACTTTGTACAAAATAACATAAAACATCATCTTGGACTGTTATTCAAACATTGCATGTACTACAGTCAGAAATAAACATTGACTAAATATTTTAAGGCCGCATATTTTCCCTACCAGTTACACAATTTTCAACTCAATCCTGAGTTTAGTACACCTCCCTTTGCGAGACTACCTTTCTGCAATGAGATCAAGGGAAAAGTAAATTTCTCAACATCATAGCAGCAGTGGTTAGGGTGCCATATACCAGGCACTGCTTGAACATAAGAGACAGCACATGCCCAGAACCATTTACAGATGGGAACAAAGAGACGTTATTGTATGTTATTTTCAATAATTCCATGAAATATAAATCAATAGGTTGAAGACAAAAGCAAAAAAAGTCCTGAAATCAGAGAGAGAAAAATGAAAAAATACAAATGCTATGTGGTAAAGTAGTATTGAAATTGGTAGATAGGATACTGTGCACATCCTAAAAATTAAAGACACCATACTGAGCGTACATGAGGATTATAACAGCATCCATATCAAAGATACTGCTATTTGACCATACAAATGAAAAAACCTTACACTTACCTTAAGCTGTCTAATGTAACTAAAAAGAACTTGGAAATCCAAGTATTACTCATCCCAGATCACTGAAGGAAGTAGCTCATAAAATTATGAAATAATTTAGGTTGGAACAGACCTCAGGGTGTCAAACCCCTCCCTCAGAGCAGGACTAATGTTGTAAAAAGTGTAAATCTACTATCAAATGTTTTCACGAATCCGTATATGGTACTCTATGACAGAATAAAAGTAAACATCTATATTCAAAACAACTGTATTATATTTGCTCAACTACAGACATTAAGTTAACTTAAATGTCATGTTAGAATAGATTTTGAAGAAAACTAATTAAGGACAGTAATTAAGGACATCAAGGCATAGAAAAAGCAGCAAAATTATGGCATAGTTACATTCCAAATAGCTCTTGTCATACCAATCCCATTTTGTCATGACAGATGGTTTCTTAGAAAGGGATAAGGTAGCAGATACGAGTACCTTCGGGGAAGTTTAATCATACAGACAGAATAAGGATTAATCAAAGAATTCCACCCAGCAGTTGTATAAAGGAAAATCATGATATAGGTTGTATAAAGTTATCAAGATTCAGAGGAATCATCGCTGATGTTCACTACCAAGCAAGTTTGCTTCACATGCTGATTTGCAATCACTGTAAAAATACAAGGCGCATTTCAAGAACTGACAGCAAAGTCAGAAGATACTGCCCACTCTGAGGAAGACCACATCATCATACTAGAAAATATACAAAGTGGGAAGGGATGTGCTGGTTTGGGCTGGGGTAGAGTTAATTTTCTTCACAGTAGTTGGTACGGGGCTGTGGTTGGGATTTGTGCTGAACACAGTGCTGATAACACCGGGATGTTTTGGTTACTGCTGAGCAGGGCTTACCCAGAGTCAAGGCCCTTTCTGGCTCTCACCCCACCCCACCAGCGAGGAGGCTGGGGGGGCACAAGGAGTTGGGAGGGGACACGGCCGGGACAGCTGACCCCGGTGACCCCAGGGATGCGACGTACGATGTCATGCTGAGCATATACAGCTGGGGTGAGAAGGAGGAAGGGGGGACGTTGGGAGTGATGGCGTTTGTCTTCCCAAGTCACCATTCCGCGTGACGGAGCCCTGCTGTCCTGGAGATGGCTGAACACCGGCCTGCCCGTGGCCAGTGGGGAATGGATTCCTTGGTTTGCTTTGCTTGTGTGCGTGACTTTTGCTTTCCCTATTAAAGTGTCTTTATCTCAACCCATGAGTTTTCTCACTTTTACCCCTCTAATTCTCTCCCCACCCCACTGGGGGGGAGTGAGCGAGCGGCTGGGTGGGGCTGAGCTGCTGGCTGGGGTTAAACCACGACAGGGATCAATCACAAAACCTACAGCTATAAAGCAGAGGTGAAGGAAGAAGAAAAGGCTGGCTATTCTGGCTAACAGCAGGAAAACCAAAACAGCAGCTACACATAGTTGTGCAAGTAGTGCCTCCAATACTAACAGGCACTAAAAAAGGCTTTTTTTAGTAGAAACGGGGAAGTATCAATAGAATTGTACAAGTATAAGATCGCATATGAAATACTGGATGACTAAAACTGCACATGTGTTCAACCACAGGAACCTAAACTGGAGCAGAGGCAGAAAACAGAAGTAGTTAGGACTCTGTAATGTCTTTTATTTAGATAAAATCAGAAGCGTTTGTCCTTTTTGCTAGGCTAAACAAAGGTTGGGAACAGAAGTTAGCCATACCTAGAAACAGAATGTGGACCTACAGCACCGGTGCTCTTACCGATAAAACATTCTCCAGGCTGCCCCGGCTGATCCATCTTACATGCATGCTCATGATTAAACTCCTTTCTAGATCTGGAGCTATGAGGGTGGGGAGAGAGTCATACCAGATTTCAAGATATCGCCTCT